AAATACCCAAAAAGAAGTTTGTAAAAAATGAATCCGCCTCAACAATATAGAACTTATCTACGAATTTGTAGATGTTGTTTCGGAAACCTTGACGCCCAATAATCCTGAGTCAACTACAAGTGGAGTGGATGAAGAAGATGAAGAGGAATACGATGAAGCTGAAGAAGACGGCGACAAAAAAGAGGAAAGCGTTAAAAATTGCGATCCCGGATTCGAACTAGTCGAAGCCCATTGCATAGGTAAGCATGAGCTGGACAATTTGCTTGCCGTCATTGGATCAATGATGAATGCTTTGTTTAGATGTAGATGAATGCGAAACTGGCAAAAATACTTGCTCCCATTCATGCGAAAACACCATAGGCAGTTACCAGTGTCAATGTCCCGAAGGATTTCAATTGTCGGCCACCAACTCCACTCAATGTGAAGACGTTGATGAATGCTTGCTTCTCAAGCCTTGTTCGCACATTTGCCTCAATTCCATCGGTAAGCTTTTCACACAATAAAACTTTGGAACTTGAAGCATTTTCCATCCCTGCAGGCGGCTTCGAATGCCAATGTCCAGACGGACTGTTAGCAGAAAATGCTACACATTGCACCAACTTGTCATGCTCCCATACAAGCACCAAAGTGAATGGAAAGTTCCAGTGCACTTGTCCTTTGGGATTCGTTTTAGGGTAAGCAACAGCATTTCCAGGAAAGGATTTCTTCACTAACTGTTCCAGAAACGATGAGCGCACCTGCGAAGATATCGACGAATGTCTCATCGAAAATACCTGCTCGCATGAATGCAAAAACACCATTGGCTCCTTCACCTGCAGCTGCCCTGCTGGTTTCATCCTGGCAAGGGATGAAAAACATTGCGAGGACGTAGATGAGTGTATGGAAAACAACTGCCCGCAAACCTGCGAGAACACTCCAGGCAGTTTCAGGTGAAATTTGGAAGACTTCCAGGTGCTTCTTTGATGATAACACGGAATAATATTTAGGTGTCTGTGTGAAGAAGGGTTTCAATACGACATCCCGTCGAACGAATGTGTGGATATCAATGAATGCGACGAAAAACTGAACTTGAGTCAATGCGAACAGCTTTGTATAAACTACGACGGAGGATACGAGTGTGCCTGCAAGTCCGGCTTCCTTGTTGGAGCGGACGATTCCACTTGTATGGATATAAACGAATGTGCTATCCAGAACGGGAATTGTAGCCAGTTATGTCAGAATTTGCCGGGATCATTCAGCTGCGGGTGAGTTATATATTTTAGTCTTGATTTTTGTTGTGTTGTACAGGGTTATTCACGCTATACGGCACGGAAGTTTGCGGCTAAACCGTTTGATTTTTAAAAAGTATTATTTTATGAATTGTCCGACGCCTAC